AATGAGAACTCGTTACTGCTCCTAGCCCTGAAAGGGTTTTTTCCTGAGGGAAATACACCCCTGGCTGTAGAGCCCCGTTTCAGGAGCTATGGACTTGGTAGAATGATGCCTCTACAGCCTACAGGAAGGAACAAGGAAACAAATACCCCTGTTGTCTTTCTATTCTCCCACCATCTGATCTCCTATCAGTGATTTCCACGGGCAAAATCCCACCAGTAGGCAGAGGGCAAAGGAATTTACTGATTTAATCTACAGAGGTCAGCCTCCTAGAGAAGAGCTGGGGAGGAAAGGGAAGTGTGGATCCAGAGAGGCAATTAGAGAACGCCTTGAATAATATTTAGTGGAAAGCATTATTAAAATTCCAAAGTTGTAAATATATTCAGGGCACAGGTCAAGTTCCACGGCAAAGAGTTTGAAATTTGAATGCAGAGGGCTTGTTGTGGCATGTCCTTGGGTACCAGACAGTGGATGAAGAGGGAAGGAGGGTTGGCAGAAGGAGAGGATAAACCGTAATGCAGCTACAGCATAGGCCTGAGCAGTTCCTGTGCACTGTTGAGGAGCTAGGGAGGCCCTTTACAGTGGTCCCAAATGGAGACAAGAAGGAGTTTTGGTAATCCCTTCACACTGACTATTGGAAGCTGGTTGCTTCCATGAGAACAAAGGTAATGCCTAGATAGAGCCATTAACAGCCAACACTCCAAACCTGCACAACTAAGTATGTCATTAACTGAATAATCTAGGGGGCACACCACAAATTCCACTACCATGGCAGTTAACAATGTCTGAGTCTGGATGAGTCATTGTCTCTATTTTTAATATATAATTTTTTGTTATTCCAAAAGTTCTAAAACAAGTATTATATTAGTCAGAATACAGAGCAATTCAGGCATCGTGACACAGACTTAAGTAGTGCTTTAAACAAACTGGAGCTTATTTCTCTATCCTATGAAATTTTCAACAGCAGTCCTCAGCAGGCGTGAGAGCTCACCAATCATCAGGGACACTTGGTCCTTCCATCTGGTTGTTATGCCACCCTCAATGTATGGCTTCCATCTTGAGGTTCAAATGGCTGCTCCAGTTCCCGTGTCCCCATGCACATCCCAGCAGGAAATGGGAAGACAACAGATAGCATGCCCTTGAATACAGCCTAAACACTACATTCATTTTTCCCATATTCTATTGGCCATAGAAACTTTATAGGGGCTGAGGATACAGTCTTTTGACTAGGCGTATTTTCTAAGATGAAGGCCTCAGCAGAGGGCAGGGATGTAGCTCAGTGGTAAACTACTTGCCTAGTATGCCCAAGGCCCTGGCTCAGCCCCCAGGATCAGGAGGTGAGGGAAGTCACAACAGGCCTATTCCTTCAAGCCTTTAGTAAGAGATCAGTGCCCCAGTAGTCCTGATCTCATGACTTCCCAAATGACCTACCTCTTAATACCAACACATTGGCGATCAGATCGACCCATGGACTTTGGAGACACAAACATTGAGGCCATATCAATGTACATGGTTTAAATTCATGGCTTCTATTAGTACAGAAAGAAGGGAAGAGTTGAACATTAGGAGACAACAAGTATCCCTACCACAACATGGATTAACCATCAATAAATGTACAGTGAAAAAAAAAAAGGTGGGAGAAAATTTTAGTTGTTTTTGTGATTTTGTTTGCTAATCTGTGCACTGCTAGTAGACACAGAAAAACAAACATTCTCTTATAATTCCCACTAACACAGATAGATGGATCATAGATAGATAGATGATAGATAGATATTGATATAGATATATAGTAAATGTAGTAAAGACATAGCCTCTATGAAGTTTTTATGGTCAGTGAAATGTAAAGAAATCATATAAATCAGGGAAGCTTGGTGCCCTTAGGTCCACTTCTACAGAAAGCAATGAGGTGAGAGCATGGCCATTATTACAGTGTGTTGTGATACTTCAGTTTAGTCAGTTTGCTATTAAGTATATGTCAGATTAACTTTCAATGCTTGGGATGGTCAGGTAACCTGCTAGCAAGAAACAATGTCCAGGTACTGGAGAGACGGCTCAGTGGTTAAGAGCACTTCCTGCTCTTTCAGAGGACCCAGGTTCAGTTCCCAGCACCCACATGGTAGCTAACAACCATCTGTAACTCCAGTTCCAGAGAATATGACACCCTCTTCTGACCTCTGCAGGTACTGCACACCTAGGTACACATACATATGAGCAAAACATTAAATAAAAAATAGATAATAAAATTTTTTTAAAAGAAACAAAGTCCAGAGGGTTCAGCTAACATCATATTTTAAAAGTTATAGGAAGCAGAAGCAGGAGGATCTCTGTGAGGTTGAGGCCAGCCTGGAATAGTGAGTTCCAGGGTCCAGGTGGGACTATAGGAAGACTCTATCTTAAAAAAATAAACAAGCAAACAAATACTTTAAAAAGTATTAGGCTCCTCCCTCACACATGTGATTAAGGTCCTACAGAAGAGACTGCGGCATTCAGTGCTCTTGCCCTTCTACTTTCTGCCCTGTGAGGACGCAGTGACTCTCTCTACCCTGTCCTCCAGAGGACACAGCAACAAATACCACCTTGGAAACAGACAGCAAGCCTCAGAGCCTGCCTCACACTTCACAGCATCCAATACCATGAGAAAATGAATTCAACTCTTTAAATTACCTGGTCTTAGGTAGTTTGGTGCAGCAGCAAATGGAGCCCAGCAGTGAATGGAAGAGCACCAAAGAACAGAGCTGGGCCCACTGACGACCCAATGAACTGTTTTGGCCACTTGCTAATCAATGTTTGGCTAATAAATGCCTGTTATGTCTGAGTGAATTCTGAGTGATTCCTGCAAGAGAAGCTTCTAACCCCTCTCTGGATGAAGGGGACCTACCATTGAACAAGTCAGGAGAGAGATCAGTTCTTATGTAGCTTAGATTCTGGAGGGAAACAGACAAGAAATATTGACAGAAGCAGCGGATGGGCATAATTGCTGTGGCAAAAACAGGAGGCAACAACAGCCAGGTTCTCTAAGAGATGACATCTAAGCCTTATTGATGAGGAGACATCCATGTAGGGATATGACATCTAAGACCTGAAAGACGAGGAGACAGCCATGGAAGATGGGTGATGATGTTCCTGGTAAGGTCCCAAACGGACCACCCCCCGCCCCAGATGGAGGGCAAGAAGCTGGCCCATGGCAGGGAAGCAGAAGAGTGCATATAAACCACCCAACGCCTATAAATGACCAGGGCCAGGGACAGCCATTTTGCAAATCCATGGACCACTGAAGAGCCATTAGGAAGAGCCAACAGCTGAAGAGTCAATACCTGATCAATGTAAAAGAGCACCAGAAGGGAAGATTTTGGTCACACCCCCAGAAAGAAGCAACAACTAATCTTTCCATCTCCTCCGAGTTTTTAATCTTTGTGTGTGTGCTCATGCAGGTGTGCACATGTGTGTGCAGATGAATATACACTTGTGTGCACATGTGTGGAGACCAGAGATCGACACTGAGCATCTTCCTCAATCTCTATCCACCTTCTTTTTGGAAACAGGGCCTCCCACAGAACCTAGAGCTCACCAATTTGGCTAGAGTGGTGGGGCAGCGAGGCCCTGGGATCCTCTTCTCTCTGCCTCCACAGCACTGGGATTACAGGTGCCCATACTCAGCTGTTTAATGTGGGTATTGGGGATTCAAACACAGTCCTCAGGTTTGAATGGTGAGCACTTTACTGACAGCCATCTCTTCATCCCCCAGTGTTCATCTCTAAAGTATCTCAGAAAAGACATAGTAGCATGGAAATCCACGAGGACAACATGCAAAGCTGGCAACACACAAGGTCCTACAAACCATAGGCTACAAACCATAAGACACAGGTGCTGAGGGAATACTGAAGTTAAGTTTCCCACCTTCCTCCCACTCAATATCACACTGTTCCTTCTCCTAGCATGGAAGCTAAGTTCTTCTCCACACCCAATCCCTGTGCTAGGTTATACACACTGTTGTGGAACATCAGTCAGAGTGGCCAATGATTTGAGAAGGAAATTCAACCTGGGCTGTCACTTCAGTTGTTAAAAATATGTTCACAAATAAAGCTCATGATCACACTGAACAACTTCAACTGTTTGCCTAAAGCATCTGACTTTTGTGTGCCATCCCTTTGAAAACATTATATATAGATTTTTAATGACCATGGTTAGAGGGGATATGAATTTTTAAAGCCAATATTCCAATTAGTACAAGGAAAGAGCCCTGGACCTTTAAAGGAAAACAAGCCTTTCAAAAGAGGAGAAAGAAGCATAATTAGAAATGCATCAAGAACTAAAAAGCTGTTTTTAACTTGTTTCCTAAGAAACCAAAAATAGAACTGACAAGTTCAACTTCCAAAGAAGCTTAGATCTACTTACTCCACTATTAAAATTTCCAGTTCAAAATTTTTAGACTCACTAATTTAAGGGGTGGGAAAAAGAAGCGTTCCCTGAATAATTTTGTTTGTAAGGTTTCTACTAGTGGAAGCTGATCTTCATGAGAAACAAAATACCAGGGTTGCTCTTAAATAGGTTAGCAACATATTTAGCAACTGCCACTACATGGTAATTCTTGACACTAGGATAGATGTTGTGATAATAGCAAATAATAGACTTATGACTGTACTCTTTGGCAGTCAAATTTACTTAATACAAGGGATATAAATTTCACCATCAGGAATGAAAACTCTTGGTGGAGTAGCACTACTCAGGTTTTGATAACATCCCCTTAATCTCCGCTCTATACATTCTGTACTGAGAGGAAACATGTGACTGCAAACTGGGCTCATGCACTTCTTTATTTTTAAAACCTTCTGAGTAGTTTCATGATTTTGGAAGGATTCATATTTGGGGCTGGACTGTGTAGAGAGGCGGGAAGGCCAGCATGAACCTTTTAGGAATGTGCCATCACCCTCTGGGCCTCATAAATTCCCACCATTCCTCCATTGATGAGTTATAGAAAAAACGAGCAATGTGAGGTTACTCACCAGTAATAATTCCTCTTAAAGTTACCAGTCCGGGACCTGTAACATGCACAAATAAGGTGGCTCAGGAAGTACAAAATGTATCGCCCTCCACATCTTTCTAGCCTACTGATACAGCCAGCTGTTGCAGTGAGCCCTAGTGTTTGGCCTGTGACTGACAGGAATGCAGTGATTCAGGCAGTGGAGAAGTACTGACACCTACAGCTGGGTTCTGCAGGGCAGTGACACAGAATGCTGGAAACCCTCCTTGGGCTCTCACTGCAGTCCAGGAGTTCCTGGACTTAGTAAGGTAGAGAGAGAATATAAACCTAGCTTTCCTTCTTTCGTCCACTCAAATCCTAACATTTCTTTTTAGGGGTGAGAATGGACAGGGCTGCTATGCAGCTCAAGCTGGCCCCAAACTTGTAGTCATTCTCCTGCCTCAAGCCTTCATAATCCCTGATCTTTATGAAACCATGTTACTCCCTGACCTCAAGACTTCATAATCTAGCTGGAGGTGTGAACACGCTTCCAACCACCTGAAATCATGGTTATTCTGGGATGTTGTTTTAATCAGTACTTTTGTAACAGGATTTGGAGGCAAAACTTTTTCTGTGGCCTATAATTGGCAAACACATATCATTAAGGATTACCAAATTCTAACAGGGGAGATGAACCATTAGAGCCACATTCTTCCTTGGGGCATCTTAGGAGTGATGAGCAGCTGCATCTCTTCCCCAGTTCTAATACACAGGAAGAAGGGGAGGTGACTCATGAAAACTTGCAAGTGCCATGTTCATGTGGAACATGGTATCTGGTATGTAGTAAATACATAATCCTGAAAACAAAAAACTGGGGCTGGGGATATGGCTCAGTCGGTAAAGTGCTCACCACACAATCAGGAGGACCAGAGTTCAGAACCCCAACATTCATATAAAAAGCCAGCCATAGGGCTGGAGAGATGGCTCAGCAGTTAAGGACACTGGCTGCTCTTATGAAGGGCCCAGGTTCAGTTCCCAGCATGTACATGGTGGCTAACAACTGTCTGTAACTCCAGTTCCAGGGATCCAACATTCTCTTCTGACCTTTGCAGGCACTGCACACACGGGTGCACTTACATGCACGCAAAACACTCATACATATAAAATAAAAATAAATAAATAAATAAAATGTTTTAAGTCAGGCATAGCAGCAGGTATCTATAACCCCAGATCTGAGTGTGTGTGTGTTTGCACCACAGTACACATGCTGAGATCAGAAGACAACTTGTGGAAGTTGATTCTCTCCTTCCACCATGTGAGATTCAGGAATCAAACTCAGGTCATTCCACTTGGTTGCAAGCACCCTTACCTGCTAAGCCATCTTGCCAGCCTGACAGATTCATTTAACAGACAGTCATACATAACTATACCAGGAAAATGAGGAGTGGTTAAGTATATTCCATCTTCATCCATAATACAAAATCACTAGAAGATATGTACAGCTAACAATTTACCAGATACAAGTTATTTTGAAGGAAGAATACCACCCCCTCCCAAAAATCCCATTAAAACAACTGTTGATGACTCGGGTGGGCAGGTTGGAAAGGGTGGCCACTGTCTCTTACTGGGGTGCTTTGATTTTAGTACCAGCTGATATTTTAAAATGTGTAACTTTACTAAGAATAAAATTAATATATAGAAATAAAAGGCAACATTTTTCTTTAAGAATTAAAAATGCCTAATAATTTTTTGTGAACCTTTCCTGTGTGCTATTTTTTTTTTTCCCAAAAATACTGTCTAAAGTAACATGGATGTACCTGGCAGGTCACAGTTAGTCTTAAATTCCTAAAGGCTGAGGATTGCTTATCAATACTCTGAATTGAGAAACAAAAGTGAACGCATATGCATTATCTCAGTAACATCCATAGACATTGGAGTCAAGGAGGCATGGAGAAAGGGCTCTCATGGGAGTGCTCCAAACAGAGAAACTGATGAAACCAGATGCGCCTGACGAAGACACACAGAGTTACAGGAGCTGAAGAACACACTGGCTATTTGGTGTTAGCACAAAAATGGCATTGCATGTACAATGCAATACATACATAACTTGCCTCTTGGGGGTTAGGAGAATATGTTATGAGAAAAATACTTTCAAAACATCTTCTAAAATGGTCCAGGTAGAAACATGCTGCCTTATGTGGTAACACATGACTTTAATACCAGCACTCAGGAAGCAGAGGGAGGAGATCTCCGTGAGATGGAGGCCAGCCTGGTCTATATAGCCAAACAGTTCCAGACCAGCTGGGGACACAGGAAGACCCTGTCTCAAAAAAACAAAACAACAAAAAAATTATTCTGTAATGTTTCTAACTGGCTCTTCTGGTAGCAAAACCAAACCTTACAAATTCTGAAAATAAAAGAATGGAAACTGGTGCCAAAAATGAAGCTCTGCTGGGTTCCACTGTTTTCCCACACTGTTTGTGAGAGCATACATCAAAAATTTCACGTTTGCCATCCTCAGCTACCCAGAAGACAGCAATGCTCAGAGCACTGTTTCTCATGGTGACAGTCACAGCCAAACTATAATCATTCATAATAATGCATCTTCTACAGTACTAGAATTTTATTATCCATTTTATATTTTTCCCCAAGGGATTCTTTGCTTAATTTTCACAGCCCTTTCTCTTTGTTAAAGTCATGGAGTCTCTTAGCTTAGCTCAATGATTCACAGCATTGTCCTTTAACTCAGTAGCCATGAGAAGAGCTGGCTGATACACTTAGGTATGTACTACACCTAAATACTATCCTAGAATACACCTAAAATTGCACTAACCCTTCCCTTGTGACATCCAGAGATTCCTCTGGTTCCTAATTCATTTCATGCTGTTTTTAATCCTTTCTTGGACATTCTGACACCATGGTTTTTTACTGAGGGATACTTGATGGAGTCAACAGGAAAAGGGGACATTTTGGCAAATTTATAGAAGTCTGCATCAAAATATAGAAATAACTTAAAGTATAACAATAATTATAGTGGGGAAATGGGATGGTACAGAGCCCAGGGAAAACTTTAGGATGAAGTTTTCTGTTTTACATATTACATGATAATTTTTTAACAGATGGCTTGTTATTTAGAACCTATCTAGACTCAAAATATCATCAATTTCTGGCAAAAGATCATTTAGATCTGTTCTTTAGATATTTTCTACCCAACAATCTTTCCATTTTTTATAGATTTTTATGATAGTCTGAAGTGTTTAAAATAAAAATACAGACACCATCACATTACACCCAAATACTCCAGGATAAAGCTGTAAAAAGTAAAGCTGTTTTCCCATACAACAATGATACTACTATCACATCTAGTAAATCTAACACTAATCTCCAATGTTCTTTAACACCCAGGCTATATTCAAAGATTTCCAATTGTCCCCCTGTGTCTTTCACAGCTGGCTATTCAAATCAGAGAGGGGGAAATGTCTACATTTGTGAGATGCATGTAGAAAAACATTACAACTGTGACTGCAGATGTGGCTACTCAGCATGCTGTGCCTTCTCGTTCTTTGTATTTGAAATGTGTAATTTAGGTATAGTGTCCAAAAGATTTGTGTCATTAGGAGTTTATGAACATGTCTGTAAGTACTGAAGAAAAATGTCTAGGGTATGCTTCTGGACATGTCTTGTTTGAGATTGCAATCAATTATTTGGACAATGTCATAGAAATTATGCTTAACAGATTTCTCAGTTGCTAAGCCTGGAGGAATGATGAATGAATTAGATGCGGGATTGATGATCCAGGGACTAGTGAGAAAATCTGTGTTAATACACTCATGTGTCTCTCCATTAGGTAAGAGCTGGGAGCAAAAGATCATCAGGGTCCTAACGAATACCCTGTAGCTTTTTAAAATGTTTCTGTTTTTGAGAACATCAAACATAAGTACAGTATTTACATCATTTCTACCCTTCTCTCCCACTTCCAATTCCTCCCATGTCCCCTGACTCCCTCCCAAATTCATAACTCTTTTTGTTGTTATTGTCACATATGTATGCATATATGTATATATGTATGTATATACAACCTACTGAGTTGTGTGGTTAGGGCTGATCACCTGGGACTGTATCAGGGCTCGTCCATGGAGAAAACGGATTCTCCCTCTCCCAGCAGCCAATAACTGCCTGTAGCTCTTCATCTAGAAGTGGGGCCTTGTGAAACTTCCCCCCATCCATGGCAGCATGTTGACAGGTGTTGTCATTATTCAGGTCTTGTTTAGGTAACCATATTGTTGAGATTTCACAAGTGTGGCATACCTGGTGTGTCTAGAAAACACTACCTAGCAGCAGGTGTCCTGTTCTTCTGGCTCTTACACCATGTAGCTTTTTATCTTATTCATTTTTTTGTGTAGGAGTGCTTTGCCTGCATGTGTGTAATGTGTACCATGTGCATACAGTGCCCACAGAGGCCAGAAGAGGGCATCGGATCCCCCAGAGTTACAGATAGTTGTTAGCCACCATGTGGGTGCTGGGAACTGAACTCAGGTGCTCTGTGAGAGCAGTGAGTGTTCTTAACTGATGAGCCATCTCTCCAGTCCCACCATGTAGCTTTTTGATGGTTGGATCAAACAAAATTGTCTGAAACCATGGAAACAAAAATGCAAAATAGGATTCCTTACCTGCCAGCCTATGAGTTGCACCTATGAGCCTTACCAGGAAACCAGTGTGGCCAATGCACAGCAATGAATGTGAGTGGGATAATATGGTGTGTGGCGGGGGGGGGCACAAATGCTAAACTGCTGAAAAATCTTGATATAAGTTTCCACTGTATAGGAAAACTTCAAAATGAACCTCAAGGGAGCCTAACCACCTTGAAAGTGAGAAGGCGAGTCCCATTTAAGCATCTGCTTCATACGCTTGGCCTTGTCTGTAGTCAGACATAGTACTTAGTCCTGTGTTTGACAGAAACAGTAGCTAAACTGGAGATGCAAATGTGATCTGTCAAAGGATCAGAATGGAGGTCACATGGAAACCAAGAGGGTCTTTGTTTACAAGAGAAGTAAAGTCCTCTGTATCACCTTCAAGATC